ATAATCTGAGAATATGCCTGCGCTTGTATTACCATGACATGCTTAATCTGAGAATATGCCTGCGTTTGTATTTGAATCAGTTTGAAGTGCGCGCAGCCGATGATCCGGACAATCCCATTATCGCCCCATCGTCAACATCGGCGAGTGTTATCCTGATGCACAAAATCAAGAAGGTACGTACGCACACAACAACATATGGCTCACATAACTATAGGAGCAAGAATATATGTAAGTATGACTCAAATAACGATAGGATCAAGAATATATGCACTCACACAACAACATATGACTCAAATAGCTATAGCATCAAGAATATATGCACGCACACAACAAGACACGACTCAAATACCTAAATACAGTTGCCATCGCAACGAGATAGTGCCGAAGCATCGGTTTGTGCTTTTAGTTATTACTTAGTCATTGGTATACATTATTTTCATAGATATGCATGTATGATGGCTTCATAGCATGTTTCATATTGTTGTCATAGTATTGATAGATATGCATGTATGTTGGTTTCATAGTATGTTTTATATAGTGTTTTACAGTGTCCATGTGTATTTCTATCCCTCAATCGTAGGTACTTGTACAGTATGCCTGAACGATGACTCATGTTCTGACGTAGCGCGTAGTCCCATAACATGCGTTGTGTGTGAATGCGATGGATTCCTGCACACCATCAATATGACTCAGTGATTGGCCAGCACAACACCTTAAGAAGTGAATGAAATGTACGGCATGTGAGTACTATACACGACAGACACAACTGATAGTGATAGAATGGGATAGGCAATGTACATGTGGGCACTATATACGACAATACGACACATCGGTTGGCCAGCGTATGATAGTAATCGAATGTTTGTGCAATGTACGTCATGTCAGAAATTTATACGACAATACGACACACTGATTTGCCAGCATGGTGCTCAAGTAGGTCAGACAATATACGACATGTGACCACTATTTACGACAGCAGCTATACACCACACAGCCCACAAACATACCAACACCCACCACTCATGCATGCATTGGGTGCTTGTTATCTAAACTACTCACCTACACTCGGAACAACTATACCACCCACAGGCGCGTACGGGCGAAATCAACTCCAAAGTCACCACCTCTGGGCCCTATTTTTTTGGGCTGTCACGGCCGTATGTCAGGAAAGCAATCCTGATGATGAAAGACTCGGAGAAACTGGTCAACTTTAATCCACACGCACTAGACGATTCACAGAAGTACGGCAGACGCCCTGGCAGCGAACGGCGCAACGAGCAGAGTATGTGGGGGTGGGGGCTTGTACGGATGTGTCTACGGTACTTGTTACCTTGTGTGTGTGTGTGTGTGTAGGAGGGGTGTCTGATACTACATCAGTTAGATGAGTCTTACGGTACTTGTTA